TGATTTAGTAGGTACACAAATTAGATTGCAGCAGTTAAGTTTTACATATTCGTTGGTAGGTTTAGGTACATGTTTGTTATGATTTACATTTTTTTGAATTGTATTTGTTTTTATGTACCTGTGTACATGTAATGACGTATATGTACATTCCTCTCAATTAAATATTGATGTACATATTTCGTGGATGTATATCTATATAATAAAATAGCTGACAATTCAAATTTCAAAAGATAAACAAAATGACTTTTACTTTTTGCGATTTAGATCGCTTTAAATTTTACTTTAAAGTTAATCTAACAGTTAATATTAACATTCTAAATTTAATAGAAAAAAAATCGGGTCATAAGGGTGTGTTTTGAGTGACTTTCTAAAAGTATTTCTAAAAATTGTTTATCATAGGTACTTAAAAAAAATAGTGTTTCAAATTACCCTACCACTACCTCTACTACCACTGTCGCCGCCACCACTATCACTGCCGTTATCGCCACCACCGTCGTTGGTGCTGTCGTCGTCACCCCACCACCACTACCGCTGCCACCATCGTCGCCACCCATCACAACCATTATTGTCTCCTATCACCACCTCTCACCTCCACTCAACCGATGCTTAAATTCATTTATTTCTTATTGATGCTTGTGATTTGATTTTAGATATAAATATAAATATGTTTATTGTTTATCATTTTTTGTTACTTTGTGCCTTCAGGTACAAACAATAACTAGTAATTCATATAATGTACCTGAGTGTACTTGGGAACCACCAAAAGTTATTTTTATGAACAAGTCATTTTTTTTAGTGTACCTCTCTGACGATATATGTTTATGAAGAGAAATATATATTATGATGATGTAACTTTTTAAAATAAGTTTTTCAATTATATAATCACATTATCGTTATTTTTACAATTTTAAATGACGTTAATTATGTCAATTGCTTTGACTTTTCAACTGGACCTAATCCCAAAATAAATTGGCGAGTACCTACTCATTCTGATCAATGTTTGACACCACACCCATCCAAAGTTGGTATGGGCTTATATTATATTTTTTTTTAAAAAGTGCAATGGTTATTTCATTTTTTTTTATTTAGATATGTGAACAGAGTCTATAGAACAAATGTTGTTGATCCAAAGTAAGGATAGTACGAGATAGAAATAAATCAACACAGACTATTTTGGATTGGATTGGATTGGATTGAATTAGAATTCAAAATCTAATGTAACCCAATAGACGGGCATCCAAGCACCCCATAGAGAAAGAGGACTTGTTCCAATTTTCACAATAATTAAAAAATATTAGGGGCGCATTGATTTTTCTCCCAATGTTTTGTCTACCGATTTGCCGCAAATTTTCAAAAAGCAAGCCCTACGCACGAACTCTCTTAAGAAAAGACCCCCAAAACTCAACATTAGCCGAAGAATTGTACGTCTCAGGTTTGAGTCCAAGAAAGTTCCCGCTCCTCCTACAATCTCGACCAGGAAAATACTAATTCTTTCTTCGATGTTTTGTTTTGATTCTGTGTTGGTTGTGTTTGCTAATAATAATTTTCAATATTTATTCGTATTTTTATTGTAAGAATTTATTCTTCAAACAGGTCCGTAAAGAGTTGCATTCAAGTGGAATTGGAATGCTCTCTGTAAGTATAATCACTCAAATGTATTTGCAGGTAATTTCGTTTTCTATCTTTCTAAGCCTTTTTTGTTTGAGCTGCATCACTATAAGTTCTGTATAAATTTGAACAATTACAAAATTGAGGAACATACGTTGCGAGCTTAAGACAGTTTGTTTGTTCTGCCAAGTTTCATTAACTAAAATTAATACGAGGTATGATAAAAAGAAGTACTCGGTTACTAATGGATACTTATAGTTCAATGAAATACAAAACTAACATTGTTTAGATGGTCCATGTTCAGAGTTCAATTACCTGAAGAAATTGGAGTCAGTGTATTGATATCTGATATAAACGGATCTGAAATTCTCATTTTTTATCATCCTCAAGTTCTGCCTGCACCAGCCTTGCAAGCCTTTAAAATATTACCTCTGCACTTATTTTTAAGTGTAGGATACATACCAAATAGAGTAAGACACTATGACCCATATGTGTTTGATGCAAGTGACTACATATTTTAACTGAACTTTTTACTTGCACATTCACCAATTGGAATTTAGGAACGAGGGGGGCCATCAAAATAGAAGCTATTCCATTCAAATTGGCACTGGTCTTTATGGTGATATAAGAAACCATGAGAGGGTAATTCTGTCTAGCTGTTAACACATTGGTTCATATATCATGGAACTCTTAATTGCTTCTTTTGTTGGATAATGATCTAGATGTTTGCTTAGAATCATTTAGAAGCATGGTTTGGCGGGGTTCTGTATAGAGCAAGGAGGTTATATGTGCAGGACCAAAAGGAACTATTTGTCGTCAAGCTCCTTTCTCCCATCCAAATTCTATTTATTACAAATAGCAATAGAAACCAACTTGAGGAGATTCTTGTTGACTGTCGTCACACTGTCAAGCTTTGTCTTATACACCAGGATCAGATAAATGAAGTCCAATCCTTTTTATCTCGTTTGCAGCTTATTCTGCCTATAATTATCATGTTCACCCACTTGTTTGCTTAGAATCATTTATGCTCCGTTTGGTATGATGAAAAAATGAAAAGATGAAAAGTTGGAAAAATAGAAAGTTGGAAGGATAGATAAAATATCATATTTGGTAAAAAAGAAAAATAAGAAGGATAGAAAAGTGGATAAATGATATTTCCTTCCGACCCACCAAAATCAATCTATCTAAAATTAGACGGAAAGTGGATGAAAAGTTAATTATTTGTGTTAAAATATATCTTATTTGTCTATGCATCATTTGATATATACATATACATTAATTTCATATATAAATACAACGATAAAATATGTATTTATATATTTTTTTAAAAAAATTAAAAATAAAAAAAATAAAATTAAAAATAAAATTAAAAAAATTAAAATTAAAAATAAAAAAATATTTTTTATCTTACCAATCACAAAAAAAGAAATTAATCATTTTTATTTTCTATCCATCCTACAAATACAAAAAGAAGGAAAGTGTATTATTCTTACTTTCCTTCCTTGAAAGATAGAAAGTGTATCTTTCTTACTTTTCTCTTATATTTTTTATCTTTCTTACCAAACGAAGCATTAGAAGTATGGTTTGGTAGGGTCCTATACAGAGCAAGGCGGTTATATGTGCTTCCGCACGACCAAACGGAACTCTTCGTCAAGTTCCTTTCTCCCGTTTTTCGACTTGAGGAGATTCTTGTTGAGTATGGTCACACTACTTTGTCTTATAGGCAAGGATCAGATGAATAAAGTCCAATTTTTTTTGTCTCATTTNTGGTCACACTACTTTGTCTTATAGGCAAGGATCAGATGAATAAAGTCCAATTTTTTTTGTCTCATTTGAAGCCTGGCCACCCACTTGGAAGGGGTGTAGAGGACATAGATTCAAATCCATTATTCGAAAAAATTGCGTATGAAAATTTATTTAGCCGTGATGCTACATGATGGCAATTAAAGACGATAGATTTCTCCATTGCTCTTATTCTTCATATAATTCTAACCAATATGGTTTTGAATCTTTATGGTTAGTTATTGTAGTACTCGAAAAACTTCAAGATACATGTCTTGACCATAACAGGATAAGTGGCAACAATTATCGGTCGATATGAAAATGGTGTTTGACAGTGTCAATTGGACTGGTGTAGATAACAATGCCATGCGTGATGCCCAAGGCACGACACTCATGCGTTACACCTAAGGTGTAACGCCCCGGGGCGCGATGCCGCAATATCACATCAGGGTGAAATACATCTCCACCGCATTGAAAATGGCAAAATAGACCTTTCACCAAGGTGGGACAAAAGTGGAATCACAAAAGTACGGGGGCAACCTCGGCGAGACTTGCCTCTCTCACTGCGGGAGTGGTATCCTCAGCCTATTGAACACCATTGCTCAACTGCCTTACTGGACTAAGAGGTGTCCTCACCTTGGGACAGGGGAGTACGACCTTCCTCAAAGGAGAATTGAGCAATAGGGACGGATGAGCACAATTGTCGACCTCAGCCTGAGGTAGGGTTTTAAAGGTTTAGTTTGCTCGAGCAAGTCTCCCAGTGTATAGATTATGGCCCACTGGGATATGCTTGATTGGGATCCGGAGATACTTCTAAGGGATCTGGGATTATTGGTCTGGATCAGCATATGAGACAATGGGACATACGGATTGGTGGCTGAAAGACCAAAACTATGTGAATTTCCTCTATTGGGCACCTTGACAAAGGTCTCGAGGAAGGGTTTAGAGAGGGAAAGAAGGACCCCGGGTAGGAGCGCGCTACAGGCATTGCGGACATGGCCCTGTCGGGGTCATGGTCCTACGGTGACCAGTCGAGGTTGTGGACCTTGGAAGCCCGCTTCTCACCTTAGCTGTTGCACTTTCCTCAGGGCAACGTCCACGTTGCGTTTGGGAAAACATCACATCTGTCTAGTTAATGTTGGGACGCATGACTCGCGTTAATAGCCACTGGTATCGTCGCGGTTGAGGCGGTTGTGGGTTCGCACGTGTGATAAGGGGTCGCAGAGGGCAGTCCTTTGGGCAGCCTGACCTGTCTGGGCACTGTGCTATAAATGCCCACATTACTTGTCCACTACGGAGATGATTTTCTGGTTGGTGAGAACATTTTTCACCTACCCTCTGTCCAACTGGTTCGTCCATTCGTTAATAGGTTGCTCGAGTTTCTTCCATCCCATTCACTTATCCTGCTCACCCTCTTCGATTATCCTTGGTATAGACACGTGTGCCAACCTCTTTTAACTCCCCACCTACAGTTATAGTGGTATTCCCGTCTACCTCATCACTTGATTATGGGGTTGGGACACTTTGGATATTTACCAGATCACAGTGAGCATAATTTGGAACAGAAGTATGACTAAAAACAAATATGCTGAAGGAAAATATTAGGTTGCATGGACTCAACTGTAACCACTTTCACTTCAGTCTATGGTAAACTTGTTTCTTTAGTTCATGACCACGTTAGTGTTTCAGAGCAAAGACACCAAGCGGATTCCACCACAACAAATTATCCAACAGTGGGAGAGAAAGACGAAGTAGAGAAAACTGTTGCAGATTTATTTAACTTGGTAGATGATCCAGTTGCTACTATCCTTTCGACCCTCCTACCGCTTACGCTTGAAAGCGTCTTTCTTGCCATGGGGGGAGTTCATGTTCTCTCTCTTAGAGTCTGTCATTAATTATTTCACTGATATTAGGTAGGATTGTAGAGTTCTTTATGGTGTGGTCCTGTAACATTCAAGCCTCTTTTTGTTTTATAGATGTCACCCGGAACACCTCCTTTAATTCCAAAAGGAGATGCACATCGTCAGTTGGGACTCTGTCATATGTGTTATATGTACATATACATTTTCAATTAAAAAGGAAGAAGAATGTACATTGCTCAGGGTTGCAGTATCAGTGTGGTAACAAAGGCAAATAGTAGTGGGAAACAGTTGATTATGAATAAATTGAAGTCTTGGGATTACATAAGGGCATCTCATTCCTTGCATTTGGAATGGTGGCCTTGATTCCTCTGTCTCATCCCACTTCCCTAAGGAATAACCTATTCTTACAATGGGGTGGCTCTCCTTGCGGACTTATATGGCTGCAAAAATAATATTCCAACTACATATCACTAAAACAATTTTATCCTTTCTTTTGGCAGGAGATCCTATAATTTTGCAATAATTCCATGCATTTTTGCTAAATTAAATGGGCTCAAATCACTTCTGGAATGTTGAACAAAGTTATGCCTGTTTGGATTTTCCATTTTGTTTGCTTTTGTTTTGTTTTATCTTCTCCCACTTCTTTGTCCCGAGACCACATCGTTTGTCCATGTGTCACCTGTTGTATTTATTCGGAAGGTTTTAACATTATCAACTGTATGTGCTGCTACTCCCCTGGTATTCATTTTTCTTTCTGTCAGTGAAGTCCTTGTAGATCCAGCCAGTTTATGATCATACTATTTTGGGTTAAACAATTGTCTATTTCTTCTTTTTTTGTTCATTTGTGTTGAAGTCTGTGTTATGTTCTTCTTCAGCACAACTTCCCCTGAACTTTGGAGGCCTTAAATTTGACTTGCTCTCAACAGCAGGGAAATCGTTGGGATAGGAATCAGCTGGGGTCACCCCTCTTCTTTCTTTCGAGTTCCAGCCATTCTCCTTCTACCTATTATGGTTTCAGGAACCTATTCTACCAGATTTTTAATGGTGTATTTGATGACCAGTTTGCTGCAATGGATGCTCTTCTGAATGGGAAAGAGTCCTTTGCGCTTCAGGTATTGAACAATCTATCCACTAGGAAGATCAGGATTCCCTTAAGAGTGGTTTCAGTAATCAATATTTATTTCTCTGTCTTTCTTGCTTCTTCTTTTCCCTTTTTTTGTGGGTAGGAGCTTTGGGTTGGTAAAGGACTTCAGAAATAAAACCCCTCAAGGCCATGAATCTTCTCATGCATTTACTTATTTCGTATAAGATAACAACAACAGCAGTTTAGTTGGGGTTTATAATGATATTCCTATTGGAACTGAATTAGAAGCAAGAGAAAACATTGTTGTCTTTTACCAGTTGGCATAACTTCGAAGGGCCCATCATTTGGAGAATAATAAATGGCCCGGATAACAAAGCAGTTCTAGATTCTTTTTGATTTATGCAGTTTTGATGCTGTGGAATTGTCTTAATTTTTGTGAATGCAGTATCTTCCCATTTGATGATGCCATCATTATCACAGTCTTAAAAACCTTTCATCATCCAAACCTGCTTAAGAAAATTGTCTGGTTCCCCTACATATCAGAATTGACAAAGTCTATCAATTTGAATCTGGTTGGTGCCATGCAAAGTTCACCTCGATAAGCCAACAAAAATCAACCAAAGGTTAATATGTTGCCTGTTGAGCTCTGGAAATGGTCACTCCTTCATTATAGGTTATTTAGGGTGTAAAATGGCTGAGTTTCCATAGTTTCCTTGTTGGGCTCTGTACTGTGATTAATGTTGCCCCGTGACTTGTAAACTTGTACTATGCAATTTTGTAGAATTTTCTAAAAAAATAAACTAGTTGTCCTCCAGGGTGACACTTATATTTTCATTTCTTTTTCGTTTTTAATAGTCAATGGGATCAAAATATGTGTGTGTGTGTATTGCTGGTATAAACTCTCTGACATTGCTTTCATCATGACCTCTGTTTGCTTCTAGGTTCTTTACCTTTTCTTTCCCAAGATGATGCATGTGGACATCTGTGCGTGGTTAAGCAGCACTTGCCGCTTTATCTCCAATTCCAGTCTCACACGCAAACCATTGCAGGAGTATGTATAAGATCTTTATAATTATAAACTTGAGGTTCTAAAATCCAATAGAACTTAAAGATGACACGAAAGGGAAGTTTAAGTGAACTGTGATGCTAATATTTTATGACCCAATTGTTTTGAAAACAGATTTAAAGAAAGATTTCTTTTTATTGTTTCTCGTCTCTTGCATTCAAGAATGCATTGCATCAATATTTTTGGAATTAATTTTGATGGGCCAAAAGCCCAAAGGTTGGACAAAGCACTACTGACACGGACTTCTCTAAAGAAATTGGTCCCAACAGTAGTCCCGCGAGTCAAATCACAATGAGTTCATATTTACTTTGGCTGTTGCATTTCCTGCTGCGCTCACTTTGCTTGATCAAAGACTTGCAATGCATTTTATTCGAAATGTCCTAAATTCTTTTGATCAGCTTATGCTCAATTGGAAATGTTGCATGCTATAGAGATTACTGATGCATTTTTTATATAGAGAACTTCACACATGGCATACCATGGCTGAAATAATACTCAATAACAAAATTATTCTCTGATTTCTTGAACTCTTCCGCACATGCGTAAATGAATTTGTCAAGGGAAGAAAAGAGTTGAATAGAGTGACCTGCAAAGATAAACTTTGCTATGGAGGTAAAGGTAAAGATGTTTGAAAGGTAAACACAGCATGCTTAATCTAGCCATTAATGTCTTTTTTTTTTTTGTTTTGGCTGGAGAAATAGACATAGTGCTAGACAGTAGCACTTTGTCAAAAAGTCATGGCCTGCACCTAAATAGATGTAATTGAGGTCTAATCTTGTGAACTATTTCAGCTTTATTTTGGGGTGAGATTACAGTGGATCGTAGGGCCCTCTGGGTTAATCGATTAGAACCTTTTTGGCTAATGATGTTCAGAAGCTAGGGCACTTTTTTCTGCAGACCACACTTAATTAATGGTCTCCATATACTTCATTTTCAGGGTGGATTTTATTGGGTTATCCTCTTTCAACTTTGCTTGTCAAATCCCTTTCTTGTTAAAGACTGAATTCATTATTATAATTTGAACGTGAATGAAAAGAGCTTCCACATAGCTGGTTAAAGAAAACTATCAAATATGAAGTTCATACTCAGTGAGGCCATGGAAATATATGTTACTACTTTATGTGTTGAGTGGTGATGCCCAAGAGGGTTGCAGAAAAGAGGGAATTGCATGGGGATTTGCAGCAGAAGGGGAAAAGTGAGAAAAGCATAGAAAAGAAGGTTTGGTAATTATTGGCATTGGAAGGAAGAAAAAAGAAACAAAAGGTAGGTCTGTGGAGATGAGATTCTGTGGTGAAAGATGACATATGCAAGTCTGTTAAAGAGAGTAGAAGAGTGACGAGTGGGAAATAGAAGAGAAGCTTTTAGTTTGTCCACTTGTGCTGCATATGGAGATAAAAAGAGGGAGCCTTTTTTAGTAGGCAAATGGTATGTATTGTACCTTAACTGTGTCACTTACATATACTTTCAAAAAGCTTGGATATACTGTAATACAGGCTCCCTTTTATTAATCCCTATGCCCACTCCCTTTCCCTCTGAATATACTTATCATTTACAGTTAGGGTTATTCTCATATGGACTCTCTCTCTCTCTCATATTTTGGATATAATTGTTTTTTTTTGTGATATGGTAGTTGATTTATCCATCTATCTGTGGAATTTCCTGTTCATGTTATGCAGTTGAAATCATTATATTGGTTACCTTTATTCCTCTGAAATTAACGAAAACGGTGTGTATGATTGAGTCCATGAATGTGTTACGCAAATAGAAGTTTAACAGAGTTACTTCATATGGTTGAGTCCGGGTATAAGTCACACAAGTAGAAATTTTTTCTGTGATAAGCTTGCTTGAATTGCATCACATTGAAAAATGTTTATTTATTGTGATAGAATCATTTGTTGAATTAAATTGAAGATTAAGTTCCATGAAATTACACCATCACCCTTATATCTACTTACATCCTAGATATTCAATTGAGCTGTAAAACAGAAAAATGTTATTTTGATATAATTAGTTAACCTAACTATTGTTATTTGATTTGTTGTAAGTTACATATTAGGGCAGCAAATTAGACCAGATTAACTTTATTCGATAAATGTTTAAGCATGCTTGCATTATACTGAGTTCCACCAACTGAACCGTACGGACAGGAAGGGACTCAAAGTTATGATGAGGCTCAAGGCTGTGCTGTATGTTGAGCTGCCAACAAAGGTGGTAATTTTGAATTGTATGGACAGGAACTGATCAGAATCGTAATTTTGAACTTTCAAAGTTCGATTGTGCATACTTTTTCATAACCGTTGACAATCTTCATCTTCTTTGATTTTCTCCTCTTTTCCTCTTTCTTTGCTTTTCTTTTCTTTTCCTTTCCTTTTGGGTCATGCATCACTAAGTCCCGGACCACCACTAACACTAGCACAGAATAACACACAACACACACACTCCATCTACCCTGGTCACCCTTACACTAACGTTTGCAACTGGTTTTGCTGCCTCTCTACTCCGCTTTACGAAAGGCTACATTACTTTGAAATCTGAATCATCCTGAACTTTCTTGCTTAGTACCATAAAGAAGAGGCGTGCTACAAAGAATTTCTTGGAATCTATTACCCTTCATTCTTCGGTTGGCTGGCAAATAAAAGGTGAGTGGAGGAGAATTTTAATACAACTAACCTATGAATTACTTAGGGGTCTTAGGATATACTTGTCATCGTATGGATGAGAAGAGAAAGAATTTCATTTTTGTCAACGCGGTTTATGTAAAAGAAATGATGATTGATAATGACCCATTTGAACATTTCAAAGGGTTGATGGGGATAGCTTTTTCTTTGGACCCGTTCTTGGCAGCTGGGCTAAAGGGTTTGTCTGTATGGAGGACCATAATCTTGTTCTAAATGTCAAGGAAGTGATTCATTGTGGGAAAATACGCTGGATCCTAAATTTGGGGTTCAAATGAATTGGGACTCTTGAATGAGTGGGTTTGTTGAAAAAAGTAAAGAAACTTTCTTCTCCTTAGAGTATCAAAATATGACACGTTGACACGACACGAGATTAAAGGGTTTGAATCTTCTTTAAGTCACTCATTTAATAAGGGAGTGGACTCGACTCGATTAATAAATAAATCGGGTATAATTGAAATTAATCAGAAGAAATATATGATATGATTTGTTTATATATAAGTTGTATATTGAATTTAATATGACATGAATTAATAAATGAATTGAGTATGGATAGAATATTTTGTAACATAAACCCACTAAGATTCAACATGAAGTTGTCTCACTCGACACGATTGAAAGGACTACTTTTCTAAGGGTCCTTACTAATTTGGGATCTTTATCATTGCTCTTAAATTTAAATGATGAGATCTATATAAAGTAACATTGCTTTAATAGAGAGCTAATTTACTTTATTTATTGACTTAATTTGTTAATTTGATTTACTATTGTTGCTATATTAACAATCAATTTCATCCAATATTTAAAACTATTGTTAATCCAACAATACAAATATTTTAGGTTACTAAATTGGGTATAAGTAGCATTTTGCAAACTCAAAGTAATATCAAAAGCTTCCCATCCCGCCACTGAGTGAGGTGGTCCAGTGGAGTATCGGTTGAATTTCTCACCTTGAGGTTAGAGGCTTAAGTCTTAGCCTAGTTAAGTTTGTTTTTGAGAAGAGTAATGAATATAGTCAAGAGTTTTATGATCTCACCTGTAAAAGTCTATTATATGGCCTTTAGACACTCTCTTTTGCTCTAACCTTTTTCTCAAATAGCGATAACAATGCTCCCCACCCCCCACCTCACCTAACCTCAAGGGAAAAAAAAGAGGTCAACTATATCCAATTAACTTCATGTTTCATCAGGTTTTAAGAGAACCCAAAAACAAAACAAAAAAAAGAAAGAAAGAAAAGGAAAGAAGTAGCAAATGCAACTCATAAGCAAGAAAGGAAAAAAAGGGTGAAAAAAACCTCAAAGCAGAAATACCATTTTACCCCTCTAGATAATCAACCTGTAGCTTTAACAATTCCCCCACGTTTCCGAGGCAGGCTCATCAGCAAAACCAAAGGCTTGATGCTTCAACAATGAGTGGTCACGGTCATATGTCGGGAACTCTACATCCCCCGTGAACGATAGCAGATTCCTCACGTTTACGTTAACATCAACGCTCCCATTACCACCATCACCACGGTGATCTCCTGTCAACCCCAGAAAGTCCCTAGTCAGACGGTCACTTTTCTGCCACCTAGCAAAACTTCCCGGAGTGAAACCCAGGTATTCCGGCGAGATTCCGGTGCTCACGTGACCCATTGTGCTTATATCAAACTGGGCCATAGTAGAAGAAGGCACGTGACCAGCTACTGATTGTGCGCCAATTGATACAGCCTTTTGGAGGAGTGCAGTAGCCGAGAGGTGAGCTGATGTGGGTTGTGTGCTGAAATGGAGGTTTTGGAATGGTGAGGTGAGAGTTGGGTGTGGTGGTGGTGGTTCTTGGTAAAATGGTGAAGAGATGGGAAGGAGAATGGTTTCAGGCTTGATGTGAACTGGGTTAGGGTTAAGTTTAGGGTTAGGGTTTTGAGGTTGATTCCAGCTGGGGTAGAAAGAGATGTGTTGATGTTGGGTTGTGAGAGGGAGAAGGACTGACAATGGGTTTTGTGGGTGTAGAAGAAAGGGTTGAAGTTGGGGTTGGGCAGTGGGGTTTGGGTTTGTTGTCAAGGTTGAGTTTGCAGAGAGTCTGGCTGTTTCTTCTGCTAAAGCATCACAGAATGCTCTATGGTTAATGAAGCTATCTTTCCTGTATACGTACAAGAGACAATTTTGTAGAAAAACAAACAAAACAGTTATGATAGAATCAATTCACCCAAGAAGCAAACAAGAAAATATGTGATGAGTGCAGTGCTATATATATTATATATGGACAAGAGAAAATTGTTTGTAGTATATAATGCCGGGCTGTATGAAAGAGAGTAAAACAACCCGAGATTCCAACAACTAATCCAAAATCACCTACTCAATTGATAGGCATAGTTTTTATAGCTATTTTATCTGTCTAAAGTCGTGTAAATCAGAAATAATTTAATAAATATGAAGCGTCGAAATAACGTAGGGAAATTTCACTTTCGTTTTTACCTTTATTCATGCAAAAATGTGGAGAGAAATTTTACTCCAGCTTTCTTATCTTTCCTTTTTTCTTCTATGTTGGCAATAAAAATATACATTTGTTAATTTCTCGTAACATTAATGTTAGATTGATCAAAATTTAAGATCAAATTTAGAACTTAAATGACATGACAGATGACTTGAGTTTCTTTATTTGGTGTAATGTCATTTGAACCCCAATAAAAATTACAAACAAAATACTGCTATATCATTTAAACTATAAATTTAATTCCAAAATTTATTCAATTTAACGTTACTCTTTCTCGTAATTAAAAGTAAAAGCTTGACATACAAAACCCTTGGGGGCGTAATGGTTATTTTTTCTTCGTAATGGAATGGAGATTTAAGTCAAACAAAAAGCTTACATACCAAAAAGAATGCACAGATGATGATTGATGTTTGTGCACAGTGCATGCAATAATTAATGGGGCAGGGACATCCTGCCTTGATGGTTCCAAAAAAAAAAAAAAAAAGGAAAAATGTTGAACCAGGATGACAATACCTTTTAAAATTTAGAGCTCATCAACGAAACTAATATATATATATATATATATATATATATATATATATATATATATATATATATATTAATTTGTTTTTAATTCATACCCATATATACTTATGAGACCAGAAAAAAAAACTATATTTAAAAATTAAGATTACGTTTGATAACGTTTTTATTTACATATTTTCGAAAAAAAAAAAACTCAATTGTGGTTAAAAATTAAAACAGAAAACGTGTTTGTATGTATTTATTGTTTTAGAAAATTTAAAAATTAAAACAAAAAATATGTTGGATAATTAATTTATGGATATGACAGAATTTTTCTTCACTTAATAGGCACTCCCCTTCCACTTCTTACCATAATCCAACAAAAAAGGACACCTAAGGATTCAAGCATTGTGAGCAATTACATGACAGAAACCAAGACTACACTGGATGGTGCAGTAAGTATATCAATAAACAAAAGGTTTTTTTCTTGATTCTCTGCTTTGAGATATGAAATTTGAAGATTATGATTTCAGAGGTATTTGTTTTTTTTTGTATTATAGTTGTTCGGGTTTGGACCGACTACTCTCATGACTTCATCAGTTAAACACTATAACTTGAATCGGTCTAGAGCATATTTTTTAAGAGGTAAGAACAACTAATCCTTCGAAGATGTGATAAAAGATTAAATCTAAGATTTTTGGGTTATTAAAAGACAAACTCAACTAAGAAGAAGTCTGTTGCTGTTCACGTTGATGAGTGGCAAAGATGTGTGCGTATATATATATATATATCAAATCAAAGCCCATGAAGAAAGGGAAGGATACAGAGAGAGATCTACAATCCCAAAGGAAAATATTGATTAAGAAGAAAGCGAAACGATCCAAAAAATTTACCTGGAGAAAAGAGTTCCACAGTCACATCGATACTCTCTAGTTCCACAGGTTTTTGAATGAGCCTTGCAGTCTGAGTTAACAGCATAAATCTTTGAACATTTCTCACACTTCCATTTCTTCTCCCCATGTTTTCTGCAGTAGTGTTTCTTGATTCCTGTAAGGTCACCAAGAGCCCTAGAAGGATGGTGGTGAACGCATGTAGGTTCAGGACAAACATAGGCCCTCTTTTTGATCTCTTTGCTGTTTCTTTGCTTCAGCTTCCATGGAAGATTGTGGCCTCTCCTATGAAGTTGAAGATTCTGGTCTCTCTGAAAGCCCTTGTTGCAGATCTCACACACAAATCTATTGGTTGCCAGTAGGGTCTTTGGAGATAATGCAATCACTTCTGCACCTGGGTCTGCATAAAATTAAAATGACCTATCTGAAATCTAGGTCAAAACTTCACAGAAAATTGTAGTTATAGATCACGAATTTTACCTGGGTTTCCAGGGAGATTTCTCTTCTTTTGGATTATCTGTGGTTGCTGAGGAGAAACGATTTGAACCATTGGATTTAAGCTTCCAAAGTCATGAATTTTATTACCAGAAGAAACACTAGCTTCCTCAGACAAAGAGATTGGGTTAGACATGACTGCATGAAACATTTGGCTGTGAAGAAGATTCCAACAGAGAAAAAACAAAACAAACCCACTAATCTTATCTCTTTGTTTGATTATGTTCTTGCACAACCAAACCCTTGTTGTAACAATCTTTTTAAGACCCTATAAGAAAACAAAACAATTGGAAGAAGAACAACCCAGAACTAGAGAATCCCAGCTTGAAATACAACCAAGAGGGTGATATGTAGATGAACAGGTGGCAGTGACATTTAGTCTCAGAAAAAGCAAAATCTCGTGAGCAGATAATGATGGTTGATTCTCAAAGGCTCTATCTAAACATGAATTTCTTCTCTGTGCAACTCTGCAACACAATTCAGATATATCATCTATCTCTTTCCAACCTCTCTTAAACCCATCAAAGGATTCAAAGCCACGATGCGATCAGAAACATGGAAAGAACCGACAATAGGATGGATTTAGTTCAGATCTCCCCATAACCCTCTCCTTTTGTAGCTATCAATGTATATGTACATGAATAAAGATAGACAGTATACAGATAAAAAGTATCAGTAGGTGGTAGAGATGATGTACAGAAGGTGATGATTACGGTGGCAGACTAAGGAGATGGGGCTTTGGCAAATTAGAGTCGTAACGTATAAACGAAATTACAGAATTCTTGTTCAGGTAAAGGCAAGAAAACCCATAAAAGGCTAAGAGTTCTGCAAAGGGAGAGAGAGAGAGAAACCCAAGCAAAGACCACGAAGATTCCCAACCAAATGTTCTCATGATTAATCATATTTTCCCTTTATTTTTTTGATTTTAAACTTTGAGTCTGAGGTTGGCACTTTCTGTCTTTTCCTTTGTCCCTGTTATAAAACACCCAAATCCTAAAGGACATTGATCATTTGAATGGAATGATATTAAAAAGAGGTATTGATAACCAGGAAGCTTAGGAGAATGAGAAGCTTAAAAAGCTTGGGTGGTGTTATAAAGCCTAAAGGCAAAGTGCTAGAGATGAGGCCCTTCTAACCTTTTCTATCATGATTGAATTATCAATTGAAGTTCAGCTTATACAAACCCATGATCAATGACAAATAGCTTATACTGTTTTTTTAATGTTGTAATGTTTTCCTACTCAGTTTTTGACCCCTCCAAAAAGCAATGGCACAATGTATATTTATCATATTCTCTCTCGAAGTCCATTATATTTAACCAAATTTTAAGCCTTCAAACCTTGGTTTTTTTCTCTTGTGATATCGTTCATTATTTTTTTCCGTTTTCAGAATCCTCATTAACTTTCTCGCTTACGATTATTTTCGTGAGGATCTCCCCTTTCTGTCACTCTTTTATTTTTCATATTTATACCCACATTATATCTTAGCGCAAAAGTGAAAGTGGTCAAGCCAAAACCCCACCATGGATAGCTAAGAAGGTATCTTCTTTTTCACCTTTCTATCTTTTTTTCTTGTTTCAAACCCAAATCCAAAGCCATATAGAGATGAACACCATTGACCAAAGTACATCCCATTCATTATCAAAATAAAAAAACTGATGGCTAAAGCATGTCACTAGGCATGTGCAAAGAACTCCCATAAATATATTCCCTTTGCTCAGTGTCAGTAGCCCTTTTAATCCGAACGGTTCGTAAAGCAAAGGGCATCGTCCATGCAAACTAATCCATAAGTCTTAGGGGAGGATGCAGGATAAAAGAGACCCATGATCTACGTTTGTCTCTTTGATAAATGTAATCACATATCCAAGTTTGCTCTTATAAATCCTTGGAATCCTATGCGGGCTCTTTTGATCTTAATCTTTTCAGTCAGTTGTGTATGGTATCTTTTTCGTGAGATTCATTTTTTTTTTATTGCAGCTTAGTTTTAATGGTGCTGTAGTGACAGATTATCTATCCAAGTTAGTAGGTATGGCTCAAAATCGGACATTCTACACTAGGAGAGTCGTATGGTCACGCTTAGGAAGAATTACTACCTACTGGCTGTCCCTCTTCCAAAAAATAAAAAAGGGTGAAAGTTCTGCCTCACTGATTCATCTTAACCATCTCCACAATAACCAACTTGCAATTTGTACTATGAAGTTGTGATCCTCTTACTACGAAAATTAAGAAAAATATGATTAATCGAAGATTATGATAATCCGCGATTCTCTAAGAAAAAAAGAGTTGGACTTGAATTGCTTAAGGAAATGCTCATATTTTTCTGTAATGTCGCAATGTAATGCATTTATTTTTGACGGTACATTAGCCAGCGTTCCAATAAAAACTTGGTACGTGAATACTCACGGTTGTCAGAACACGTACAATTCGACACAAGGAGCGCCGAGTAAGTAGGATATTTGGGGCGAAGTATGCTACTCAAAATCTACTTTAAATGAAATATAACAACTTATTAATGTGAGTCGTGTTTATATGACAGACTATTAATAGTTGTCTAATATTTGAAAAACGTAAAAAAATATCATCATTACAAGACATTAATAACCACTAGACCAAGGGAGAGCTCTAAAGAATCTAGTACCTTCTCATAAAGGCTCGGCTATGGACTCTAAGTACTTATGTAGAGCACTCTATAGCTAGAAATTGAACCATGAATGCTCTGTGCGATCCCAAGAAAAGATTTAGATGCCCGGACACTTAGCATTAATGAGACATGACAGAATAACAATTATTATGCTAAATTGTAAACTCGTACCATTAAATTATAGGATGGGACTCCAGATGAGAGACATTATTATGAATCTAAGTATAAATACCTCTCCAAAAATTGAATTCAGGTATACAATTGAAATCAAGAATATTTTGTGTGCTTTCACGCGAACGCCGACTGACTTAAATGTCGAGGAGATTAATTGGGTGTACATGTATATAAATTGAAGTTTATATATATATGTTGTTATGAGAAAGTAGTCTAGGGAAGTTATGATTGCCATAGTTTCTCTGTATCAGTTTTCATTCTTTTTCTTTCCAATTGTGTAAGCAGACGGGTGTATTGATGAGTGAGGGAAGAATAACCTAATGCGGGCCAGCCTTTTTGTTCACGGGTTCTTCTATTACTAGATTCTCTCTTTCTCTCTGTCTCTCTCTCTCCAAGGACTATTTCAATGGCATTATTGCGGTGTTGCGTCTCCATTTTCATCTTTTTGCATGATATTATCTTATTCACCCTCTCTCTTATTTCAAGGGAGAGAAGGTCGTGGATGAGAATAACTTCCTATAGCTTGGCTCACCTTTCATCCCATATTTTATTTGCATGTAGTTAAAAGGACACTGCTTCAAGAAGTTGAAGAGAGAGACGAGGGAGACTCGTGGTTAGAGATTTATGCGAGAGTAATACTAGATGGATTTGAAAAATAGATTTAAAAATTAAATTTGATAATCTCAACTATTAAATAGGTAGTGAGTCCTAATAAATGCTAGGACCCACAGTGAAATTAATGGTTGTAATTATCAAGTCTAATTTTTAAATCTACTTTTCAAGTTCATGTAGCATTACTCGTAACGTTTTTAATAAACGTTCTATTCTCACTCTGCCACTCAACCATTTTTAGAGAGCGGGCAACGTTATTACTTTATATTTTGTAAAAGTCGATGTGTTATTGAGCACTAATTTTTGATGTTATTGTAAAAATTAAATATTTATGTTATATAATATACGTCTAAAGGTTTGTCATTGATAGTGTAAATGAAAATTAGGATTGAGTTTGTGTTACTATTTGAAATTGTTGAATTTTTCATTTTGGGTATTGAGTATTTTAAGTAAAACAATCTCGTTTGTGTCACTATAATAAAATTAGTGTTACTATAGTAACACTAATGTTAAGGAAATTTTGAATTATTAAAAAAGTTTTGTTATCTGATTTTGACTTAACAGACCAACGATTTATTCGTACATCAAGCTTCCATATATAACTATTATAATATATAAATTATATATAAAATTTTTGTTAATTATCATAATATTTAATAAACGACTTTCATATATAACTCAATTAAGAGTTTTTATATATACTTTAATGATCTAATCTATGTAAAAGAGACGGTAAGTCAAACGACGGTTATTGTTTTTTCAAAGGATAGGGGTACAATAGTAAATTTGATAAAAAATGAACTTAAAATCAAATAATTTTTTTTATCAAACTTATTTCCAAATAAATTCATATAGGAGAATCGACTTCCAAATTTCTCGAAATTCAATATAAGCATCTCACATGTTTTACAAAAAGCAAATTCTAAGTGACGTGGTCTTGAACACCACATATTAATGGGCCTTGTGTTTTATCAATTTTTTGCGGTCAGGTTATAAAAAATTTATTCCTTGTAAATAGGGATTCAATTAGATTGTATCATGTTATTTTTGTGTCAAGTCACTTTCGATATGTGTCAAGTTCATGTTAATATTCGTGTTAATAAAAAATTATTTAATTTCACAACAACTCATATAAATATTATGTAAAAGTTATAAGATTCTTATTTTTTGTCTACAATATTCATTAAATACTTATTTTCTATGTACATTATCTGTTAATTGTGTTATTTGTGTCGAATCTTAATTTAACTAATTTATTACTCGTGTCAACTAATCATATTATTTTTTAATTTTAAGTCAAGTCGGGTTTATGTTAGATCCGTGATAATGGATAAAATTGTCATTCTTACTCGGGAATCTTTTAATCTCAATGTGAATGGATTGTCTTCGAGCATATCAAAAAAAAAAATTAATTGAGATGCACATAAATTAATCCCGAAACTCTTAATCATAAAACCAATATAAAAAGAAGAGAACACCTCATATTGATGGGCCTCTCTCGTTATGAGATGAAATATAGAGCATCCCGAATGATGTACAATGTCTTATCACTTGAAATTTATTTTTTTATAAAATATTTGGGATGTATAGAACTTTGGTTTTTTTATAGGTGCAACTATTTTAGATAACTTCATGTTTAATCAATTATAATTTCTTCTTTTAAAAAGTATAACTTAACTTAAAAAAATATTATTTTTATTTTTAGAAATTGTAAGTTCTATCACAAAAAAATATAATTTTATTTTAAAAAAGGGCAATTTAGAAGCCAGTACATTTTTTAAGACTTATTTAGGCAAAAGTACAACTCAAAAACTTATTTTTAATAAAGTGCATATTTTTTTAAAATACCACTATTGACATCGATAAACAATAAATATATGAAAATTCATTATCTTCTATCCGTTTTTTTTTGGCTAAAATCAAGTAGAAGATAAAATAGGGGGTTTAATTATCAAAATTCATCTTCTTCGGCAGAGGGATTGGAATACCAAAATTGTGACTGTTCATTGTCAAAAAAAAAAAAGAGGAATCTGAGTTACTGTTCATCGTCCAAAAAAAAGAAGAATACGACTTACTGTTTTTCAGTTTTTTCCCCTTCATTCCATCATCGAGCAAACATAAAACAAAATCGAACATAGGAATTTCCCAAAAAAAAATGACCGAATAAAAGAAGAAATATATTTATTATGTCTATACAAAAAAATATTTACATTCATTAAAAACAGTTACATCTATTAAAATCAAATGCATTTTTTTGCCCTTCATTCCAACAATGAACAAACATAAAAAAAATCGAATATAGGAATTTTTCCAAAAAAAAAATGACAAAATAAAAGAAGAAATATAATTATTAACAACTAATCTTTAAGTCGATGACAGTAATTGGTATTTGCAGTTCCTTTTTTCAAATAAATCCGCCACTAGAGAAATAAATTGACCGTTGAATAAGACTCTTACTGCCGAGATCAGATGAACACACACGTCGAAGAAAACTCTTATTGCAAAGATCAGTTTTTTTTTTTGAACAAACTGTGTAGAAACGTTTGAAGACTTTTTGTGTTATTGCAGAAATCAGTTGAACACAGACTTTTACTGTATACAAAACTGTTTATTCAAAATTCAAAAATTAAAGATAACAAATATGTAATCTTTACGTATTTGTTTCTTCAAATACCTGTCAATGATGATTGCATAAATTAAAGAAAGGTGTTTAAGTAAAAAAGATTTTAATTCATTTGAATTTTGTACCTAAATGCAAAAAATTTTATAAAAATTGATGATGCAAAAATTGGTCTGCACACCACCTGTCAATTAAGTAATATAAAATGCAATAAAATAGAGGGAAAGAGAAAACAAGGTTTATAGTAGTTCGGTCAATATGATCTACGTACACTTTGAATGGTAAAGGTCGCCGAAATTTTATTATCTCCGGTGTGGAGGGAGAACACAGAATTACAAGTTTTGAGAGGGGAGGAGAGAATTATGCTTAAATGAGTCTGATGTTCCCCAAGTATTGATGGGATTTACAATTTAGAGTGACTTAGTGTAGCAATAGAATGACTAGTCTGGCGGTCATAACGGGTTAGGACCATTTAATAATAATTAAATATCTTGGTGACCTCTCCTCTCCTCAACGGGCAAGGAAGTTATGGTGCTCTCAAAAGGACTTGATCAAGAATGAGGGAGGTTGATTCTCTCCAGACTGCGAGGGTGAGGCTCCTGGATGCTCCCTTACTTCAAGGTGGCGAGGAGGAGGCTCTTGGACAACCCTTACTCCAAGATGATAGAGAAAGCTCTTAGATGACCTTTACTCCTAGGTGGTAGAGGAGGCTCTTAGATGACCCTTACTCCATGGTGGTGAAAGAGACTTTTTGATGACTTTGCATACTTCTTGCTGATGTTGCTCTTTGATTCTTGATAAACTTGTCCGGATTGACTGTTTTAAGCTGAGTTTACTGGATCTCTTGGAGATGGGCTATAAACTCAGACTGAACTTATAATTTGAGCTAGACTCTTGGACTTGGCTCATTAAAAATTGTAATTAATAGAATAAATAACTTATCCATACATTTTTATCTAAATAAATTTAAAAAATTAAACCCCACACCTAAAAAACTCTTTAACAAATTATAAATTTTAGTATGATATCGACTTTTCTCTCATTTCTCAACTCTGCAGGGCAATGGTTTGGTAAGAATAGGGCCTGAAGCGTTCAGTGTTCGGGACAGAGCTAATCAGCCCAGGTTAGGCCTTCGGACAATCGTGGGCCCACCAAGGGTAACATCAAGACAGTCACGAGCGCTGCCTTTGATTCACGTGCGTGTTGCCGGAGCACAAGCACGGGCTTAATTAAGATAGAAACAATTTGGGTTAGTTACAATTTGTCCCTTCAACTTGTCGACTTATTAGGCCACCTTTGGCTATAAAAAAAGGAGCAGCGCTGTCAAATTATTTATAATCGTCGGATCAATTCAATAAATTTTACCTTTGATCTAATGATTACAAATGATTTAGTGTACATTATTTTATCCTCAAAAAATATTTTTTTTTCATATTAATTCGACAGAAAAATTTAATTACACTCAAATCGATTCAATTTCTGATTTAGTTTTTGAGAGAAATTAATAAATAAATTGACACAAATTTAACTATGCAATACATGAAATTGAATACAATAAATTAGGAACCCGCTTACATATGATTATAGGACAAGGTACTAGTTGAGAAAATGTTGACATGCTAAATTTAAATTCAATACAATTATGACTTTTCACATGTTACCAACCCTAACTAAAACAGCGGCCTATTCATTTGAAGTTCCTAATAGACCATCCAAGGTTTCATGTACATGAAACCACTCAACGAGACTAATGTCCTGATAAAATATTCATCTCACAACATTTGCAAAAAATGAAAACTAGGTGATCAGCAGATGTGCTCCGTTGGATTGCTGCAACCATATAGAGAGAGTCAAGTATCAATCACCATCTAGAATCCGAGGAGCAACCAAAATACATGTTACACGGTCATTACTAGAGTACAATTATCAATCTATTCACAGTCAATTCCTACCATGAGAGGGATTAATCTCACACCATTTGTAGAAAATGAAAACTAGGTGATTAACAAATGTGTCCCGTGGAGTAATTGCAACCATATACAAGGAGCCAAGTATCAATGACCACACGAATTTTGATATTATTGGGTATTGATAAATTTCAATACCACATGTTGTCGTACACTGCCACCATCATCTAAAATCCGAGGAGTAACAAGAAGACAGGCATTACTAGAGTACAATTATCAATCTATTCACAGTTAATTCCTGCTATAAGTGGGATTCATCAGACAAAATTTGCATAAAATGAAAACTAGGTGATCAACAGATGTGGCCCATGGAGTAACGGCAACCATATAGAGGGAGCCAAGCATCAATGACCACCCAGATTTTGATATTGGCACCGCCACCACCACCACCACCACCATCACCAAGAGTCCGAGGAACAACCAAAACACAGGTTACATGGGCATAACTATGACCTTGATGAAGTGTCAAGAGACTAAGAATGGTTTTATAGCATGTTTCATCAAGAATCTAAGCTAGAATTTTACAAACAATAACGATCACTCTTCAATATAGAATACTAAAAACATATCTGCAGGGTAAGTCCTTTAACCCAGTAAATCCAACTGGAGGACATCTATACCAACATTATTAGCATTTAACATATTGTTGGTGTTGGAGAGTAACATACATTACCTCTGAGGATTTTCACTTGAAAAGAATATATCTTGCATGCTACAAATGGTACACAATTAAATTTATCAAGGATCATCTATCAATTTCTGTCTAACACCAACAAAGAAAGACATATCGGAACAAAAATCTAGCCAATACCAAGTAGCTACCAACTGCCATTTGAGTTGGAAAGATCACACCCAACTGAACTTTTTGTTGTTTTCAGCCTGATCATCTTCAAATTCAACATCATTGATCAATCTAAAAATGTGGAATCCAAATACAAATCATCAGAGACAGTTAAGGAATGATTTATTTTTCTTGAAAGCAGATATTCAATAACCTTTTGATATATATAATGACAAGGACTTTGACACAATCTGGCCTAGCAATGCCTGCAAATTGAACAAGACAGAGACCGATAAGAGGGAAGGGATGTACAAGGAAAAAGATGAACAAAATGGGCAGAACGAAGGAGGAGTTACAAACACCAGAAAGAAAATATTTTTCGAGGATTCGATGCTTTGTGATATTATCTCCTGTCAATAGCAAGAAATCCAGATGAAAGTTACAGTTCAATGGTATTAACAAGGGCCTAACTTCAAATTAACCAAACAATTATGGAAGATCAACTTCCAAAAAAATGGTCACTGAGCAAGGATCAACACATTGGATGACTAGCTATTCAGAAACAGTCGAGCTTCCTAATTCAGGCTCAAGCACAAGTGACTGACAAATCAGCCAAGAAATTTGCATCTTCACAGCAATCTAGGACCTAATTACAGTGCAGAATGAAACAGTTATTCACGGCACAGGTGGAAGATCTGAAACATGAATGAAATGGTGAGCAATGATCTGGTAAGTGGATTAGCAACGCATAACAAGTCCAGGTTCCTACTTCTAACATGATGAAGATCTAAAGCTCAGTTCAAATATTTTTGTACTTCAAGCACTACCCATTAATAACCAGCATCTCTCCCCCCAAGCTGTCACATAATCTCGCAATCTGCAGCACTGCGATCCATTTTTTTTTCCTGTAAATTTCAAAATTTCTCTTGCTCCATTTAGATATTGGATTCTATATTGATCTGATTTACTGGGGCATCATTTGGTTTAGCCTTTTTACCTAATTTTTCCACAATGCTCTTAAAGATGCTGGAACACTAGGGTACACTTTATCAATCTAGGTGGGAATTCATCCATGATATTTACAGAAATTGCTTTGAGGCGTGCAACAGCTGTTCCCCTGGGGGCTCAATATGACCATGCAGATCCCTAGAGTATTGGTATACTTCAATACCAAATGCCACCACCACCACTTAGAACCTAGGAGCAACCGAAAAACAGGTTACAAAGAAATTGCTATGATTATATGTCGTCATGAATTTAAGCTAGTTCTTTACAAACAAAACTGAAGACTCTCAAACAACATCACCTATGAAGCTTGTTAGTTGCAACCAATAGCAGGCTAATTGTACCATAGAAAACAACAGCATCAGTAAAAGATACCATAAACACATCTGCAGGGTAAAAACTTTAGCGGCTTAACCCAGCCATTCCATCTGGAGGATATCTAAACGACAATACATATTCACTTAATGTTGGTATCCGACAGTAACATAACACATATTACCTCTAACGATGCTACAGCTGATGAAAATAACTGACGGGAACCAGACTGCTTTGACAAGAAAATATCTTACATGATACAAATGTAAGACCATCAAATTCATCACCGACAATCTCACCATTTCTGTCTTGCTAAAACAAAGAAAGAACATCTCAGAACAAAAATTTGGCCGGCCAAGTAGGCTACCAAATGCCACTTGAATTAGAAAGATCACTTAACTGATTTTTTCTTTGTTTTCAGCCATATCATCTTCAAGTTCAACAGCTTCAGACAATCTAAAATAGTGGAATCCAAAAATATATCATCAGAGGCAGTTACCAAATGAATTTTTTTTTTCTCTTGAAAGCAGTTATTCGGTGAAATCAGACCAGAGGTAAGTGCGTTTTGGGAGACAAATAAAATAAAAACAAAAACCTTCAGACATTTCATTACAAGGACTTCTACAAAATCTGGCCAAGCTATGCCTTCAATTTGATCAAGACACAGGCGACTAAGAGGAAGGGATGTACAAGAGAAAAGACGAACTGAAAACAAAATCAGTAGTGTTAGAAAGACCAGAAACAATAATATTTTTCGAGTATTCAAAGCTTGGAATTCTGTCTCCTGTCAATGGCAAGAAATTCAGAAGAAAGTCACAGTTCAGTGGTCTTAACAAGAGCCTAATTCAAAGTAAACCAAACAACTATGGATGATCTACCACCCAAAAACAATGGTCATTGAGATCTTCCTCGTCAGGCTTTGAACACAAGTAACCAGGTGATCGCCCAAGAAATTTGCATCTTCACAGCAATCAAGGACCTAACTACACAAAAAGTTAGAGAGACATTAACTACACAGGTACGTGATTTGAAACATGAATGAAATGGTCATTTAGGCAATGCTTAGATAAGTGGATTAACGATTCATAAGAACTCCTCCAGCTTCCTATTTCGGGCTTGAACCCAAGAACCCCAACCTATCAGCCAAGACATTCACATCTTTCGCTTGGCCTTCTTCGTTCCCAGTCATTTCCAGTTCTTCATCAAACTCCTCACTCAGTAACTCTTCCCAGAATCCCTCATCAAGTTCTCTATCCTCACTCTCAAACTGCTCTAGTTCTTCATGTTCTGGCTCTGGCTTCCTTCTTGTTCTACCAAATCCCTGCATTTCTAATGCAAGTGCGTCCAGCTCAGTCACTTGAAACCCATAAGGATCTCCAAATTCAAGAGGTTCGACCTTAATAGGATTTAATCTTTTGCCACTTTGGCTAGACTCTCCACCTCCTATTCCAATACCTTGAGGCACTATATCAATCGGCCGCCGCCTTTTCTTAGAAATGGCTTCTTCAAGTTCCTTCCTTCTCTCCTTTTGTTGAACCAACTGTTGTATGAATGCTGGGTTTTGCATTGCTCTTGCTAAGAAATTCATCATTTGGTGCTGCTTTTTCTCTGTCCCTTGTAGCCTCAGCTCCATGGCATGAAGTTGAGCTCTGGTGTTCTGTTGCTGCTGTCTAAGCTTCACAAGCTCTATCATTAAAACCTGCTTGTCCCTTCTCAGCCGATCAACTTCTCCATCTAAACCGAATCTTCCAAGTTCAACATAAGGACCAAGAGCTAGCTGTGGAGGAAAAGGCTGAGAAGGTGCCTTTCGTCTCCTAATAACCCTCAGAAGATGCTTCTGACCTCTTAGAAATGCTTCATTGGCAAACTCCCATCTCTCTGGATCAATCTTTCTGAAGCCCTGAAGCAATTAAATCCCATGTTTAGCAGCAAAGTTAAAGAGCTAAGAAATTTGTGGTCAAAGACAAAACTCTGATAAGGCTTCAAACAAATGAGGAAACTTGGTACATATTCAATCCAAACGGGAAAGAGACTCATTCACAGTGCCTTAGACAAATAGATAATATGAAATTTTGGGAATCAGTATGATTTTATTAGGCCTCTCAATTCTCAACTGACGGATTCGAGTATCAATCTAATCCATTGTTGAAGTGTTGAACTGAGTCCCATATCCGATGGTGATAAAGGAATTCCGCGTAATCCAAGAGAGCAGGTCACTCCACCTACCAGGTGCGTCTTTTATGTTGGAAACCAATGCCAAACATCCTAGTATCCCAATACACACCCCAATACAAGAATTTAATCCTAGTATGATTTGATTAGGTCTCTCAATTTTCAACTAACCAGATTCGGATCTCAATCTAATCCTAATATACCTATACACACCTCAATCCACTAGAAATCCGATCCAATCTGAATAACATAATTAACCCAAAAATTATATCTTAATTTTAATTCCAAACCAATCTAATCCTAATATCTCGTACTTATCCCAACCCACTAATAACCAAAAACTCAATGTGAAAATCCGATTGGACACCTAAGTTTTAATTAACCCACAAATTACATCTTAATTTCAATTCAATTTCATCTAATTATAACTTAATTTAATCCATATGTGTTGGGTTAAATTTGGATAAAAATAAATTTAAAAAACCACATAATTCACAGAACAACAGTGGTCTGTGACATGTGAACACTTCACAAAAGCACTAGCCACAGTAAATAGAAAAATGAGATGACAGCATATTTTCTGTCAGGGTTAATTACAAAAATGCCCCTCTAAATTTGAGTCATATTACAATCAACTCCCTCAGGTTTCAAAGTTGACAAAATACCCCCTCCAAGTTTGTAGTCCATCTGAACACTGTTCTCTCTCTCTCACTTTAGGACATACACGAAAACTAAAATATTCCCCACAGAAAAAAAAAAAAAAAAAAAAAGGGATATAGTGAAGGGAGTACTTACATAAGTATTTAGCTGCCTGACAAAGCTTGAGAAGTTGTTGTGCTTGAAGAATCTAGGGAGGAGGTTGGTGGAGAAGGCATTTGAGTCCCAAACCACAAAGCTCTGACCTCCTCTGTTCCAAGAAACAATGTGATCAGTAGTTGGATCATCCACCATATCAAAGGTTTTGTTTAGGAATGGTGGAGGACCAAGGTCATGAAGCCCCTCCATCGGTAGTGGCGGTGGCATCATCGGTGGGTCACTGGACGGGGATGAACTCGATCCGGGGTACTCCTCTTTCACGTCATCTGAAGGATTCATGATCTAAGATTGCAAGATAGATTAAAATTCTAGATGGGTTTTTGCAATTTTTGAAATTAATTTGTTGAATTCGATATGGGCTTATTAACCAGATTCCCAGAAGCACAGCAATCAAAATAACATAGTGGATACAAACTTGAACATAGACATTATCAAATAGAAAAAATTGACAAATAACGAATGGAGAGTACATAACAGATATGGAAATGAACAGAACGAAGAAGGATTTTGAGAAGAACAGAGTTTTGAAGAAATTAATGTCCTACATGAAGAAGAGATGGTTTGGGGCAGAGAGAAACTGAGTTTTGAGAAGAACAGAGTATCAGAAGATTGCAGTACCACATGAAGAATCAAAAGAAATTGAAGAGATGGCTTAAGAGTACAGACGGAGAAGAATCAATTGAATCAGATGAAATGAACAGAAGGGCCAAAAAAAGTACTACTAAGTGACACTTGTAATCTTACCCATCCTTTGCACACTCCGCTTTCCGCTTTGGGAAGGTCGTTTATGCCGTTAAGAATGTCGGTGGGATTCTCAACCATGAATTGGAAGCTCTGAGGAAGTTCTGGAAGCTCCGGAAGCGAGTTATTAAGGCTATAAATAGAGCTGGATGGGATTTACTGTAGTAGAAATATCTTGATGGAAGGTTCTAAATATTGAGGGGCAGCTTCAAGAAAGAGAAGAGAAACAGGTCCTTCGGAAGGTTCTGGAACTCCAGTTGTGGAGGTATGGCGGAGGAATGGGGGTGGAGTGTGGACCCCTCAGAGAAAAAAATATATCAAAATAAAAAAGGATTAGCATCTGTATAAATTTAAGTTGTTAAATGTAATTAGAGTAGAAGTTATAAGTTATTAAATTAAAAAAATGATTAATAACTAATTACGGGTGATTATTAATAAACAGAGAGAACATCAGATCCCATTTTTTCCTTTATTAATAAATTAGTAATATTAATTTTTCACAAACATCTACAATCTGATTGGTGGGTTTTAATAAACCTCCCCATATTTGGATGACGTCATCAGAAAGCACCTCTTTGTGGTCCTACGGTACCGTATCAAAAATTTTAGTTTTTTAAGATAAAATTATAATTTTTTTGAAGTTTAAATTATAATTTATAACTTTAAAAAATATAATCGATCACAAAATGTTAAAATCGATACCAAAAATTCATAATCAATTATGAGCATTTATAATCGATCATGACCTTCCTTTGATAATAAATAATCAACAATATATTACCAAAAAATTCCTTCTAATACTACTGAGCGCGTAGATCAATTGGTAAGAGGATATTCTAACTTAACCAAGGTCTTTGGTTCAAGACTTAGAAATGCAACTACGTTCGATAGAAAGAGTTTTGCTACCCTTATAGTCCTACTCAGCTTCAATCCAAATTAGTCACAGTCTGTTATGACTACTGGATATTGGATGATCTAACCAAAAAAAAAAAAATCTATATGATTGGTCGGTGGAGAGTAATTTTTTTTCCTTACTTTTTTGGGTGAGTAGTTGGTGGGGAGTAGTTATTTGATCATATCATCATTACTTACATAAAATTTGATAAGATTTCGTTTATAATAGGGATTGACTTAAGAAGATTGCAAAATAAATTTATATCTATTTATTTTTTATATCTACTTTGAAATTTTAGTTTTTAAAGTGTGACTTGTGTATATGGAATTGAATATGTTGTTTACGTATATTATCAAAATTAACTTGTTAAGAAAGTTCTTGATAGTGGACAAGTGGGCCACATGGTCTAGTCAGTAATATTCGAGGAATGCGGTTCAAGATAAGACCAATTTCTGCACAAAAGATTAGAAAATTGATAGTATAATATTTTTAAACAAAAGTTAGTGGATTCTCCAAATTGAGGGACCACTTTTGCAAATAAAATATTCAAAGATATTTTGAACGAACCTTCTACATTGTTCTAAAATTATTACATTATTGAATATCACTATTGTACAAAATGAGGTGGTATGAATGATGAAAAAAATGAGATATAAAAATTACGGGAAAAAGACTTTTCAGCCTTTAAGGAAAGAAAATATATTTTTTCTTTCTTTTGTTTGGTATGATTATGAATGCTGAAAAAATAGGAGGAATAATTTTTTTTTTAATATTTTATATGGTTTGAGAAGATAAATGAATAAAAAAAATGATCATAGTTGCCCTTCTGGGAGATATTCATCGTGACTTACAAGAATTAAATGACTTTGCTGTGGACCCCACTAATTTGGTTTACTTATGGTCTATTTGTTTTGATGGAAAATGGGGTGGATGGAAAATAAAGAAAGAAAAATGGGATGGATGAAATTTTTTTTCATTGTTTAGTATGGAAAGAAAGAGTGATGGAAAGGAAAATTGGAGGGAAGGTTTTTCCTTCCCGCCCACAATTTATTTTTCCCCCAAAAATGGGTGTAAAATGAGAAAAAGCCAACAAAATTTGACATTTGAACGATAATTTTATTTTTTTGTCTTTTTTTCTTTTGGTAATTATTTTTTTACTAACACACAAGAAACACACAAAATGATTTCATATATTTACAAGGTAGAATTGTAAAATTGGGTATGTATGATTTTCCTTTCCTTTCATTTTTATCTATTATTAAACGATGAAAAATATATCACTTTTATTTTTCATTTCTCATATTAAACAAAAAGCAGGAAAAATAACTTTATTTCCTTCATGGATGAAAAGTTTATTCATTTCACTTTTCTTTCCTTCCTACTTTTCATCCTTTGTACTAAATGGACCATTAGAGTCTCTCCAACTCACTAAATAAATCTCAATTTTTAACTATTTTGGTGAGACTGGCTCCAAAAACAAGTTTCAACCGTTGCCTAAACCTAGGATGCCCTTCATGCTCACCAGATCTGGAGAGGGAGAAGAAGCTCTCCATCTTTCTGGCAATCAAATCTTCTCCAACTGTTGCTAGGTATCATCTCCCCTTCCACACTCCCACCACTTTGTGTTGTTGTCGAACACCTCTCACCCCAACTACCCCAAGTTACAAATCCCCTCATTCTAAAACACTTTTTTCCCCAATTCTAACAAACACCTCTCCAATTCTGAAATCCCCTCCCACCCCTCATGCTGAAACACATCCTCACCTCCCTCGGCCCCCAAATGCCGAAACTCCCCTCCCCTTCCCTCATTCCGAAATCCCCCTTTTACCTCCGCCTCCGCCTCCCCATGCCAGAACCCACCCCCCACCTCCTGATTGATATTAATTTTTGCTATTGATTGATATTAATTTTGGTTAAATAGGTGGTTAAATTGTTATTAATTTTTGATTAAATGTATATAATGTTTGGTTGAATTATTATGATTAATTGATTTTTATTATTTGAAGTGGATGAGTGTTAAATTACTATTAGGTTGTGTTATTTCAAATTTAATTATAATTATTTTTATAATGTGATTTTGTTTGAATTGCTATTATATAACAGTTGCAAAATTCAAAATTTTGATGACGTGTCATAACATGTCATTATGCCGCGTCATCAGTATAGCGCTGACAAGTAAGGTTGCGTGGTATTTTTGAATTATATTATTAAAAATTAGTTGAAGTAGTTAGTTAAAAAAATGATTAGTTAAAGTAGATAATATAATATTTAAATATATTTTAGTTATCCATTTTTAAAAATTGGGTTAGAGTTGCTCTTATAATCAGAAAACAATAAAATAGTGAGCCGCACACTTATTTTCTACTTTTCCCCCTAATTTGGGTTGTTAAAATCTGTCATTTTCCACCAATTTTTTTTCCTCTCAATTTTCCGTTTGTGCCCAACAAAGAAAAATATCATGTTCCATCCCCCCACTCGTCCATTAGTTTGGTTTGTATGAGCCTATGTGTGGTGAATTTGCTTAAAAGAAAAAATAATTTAAATCTTAGATTTCTAGTTCTTGAATTATCCATGTCAACCCAAACATAGGACAATTAACAAATAAGCCGAGTTATTGGGAGCAAATCTAACATGGTTAATTATAATAAATTAACTGATGGTGATACCATGTTAGTACTAATGGCATAATATTATCAATTAATAATAAAATTCTAGATGAATAAAGTGAACTCTATTTAGATAATTATCGATTTGTGTGAAGTCTACCTCCTTATTTATCTATATATTATTAATTGATAACAACACGTGACAATGCTGAAAGCTGTGTTAAAGGCGGTAAAGGTTATAAATACGACTGAATGGGGTTTCTTTCCTGTAATTAGGGGTGTTCACCCTACATTACGAGTAAGAAATATGTTATTCCGTCTTCTTACCCGATACTTTGTGGAAGAGTTTTTTCTTGGCCTACCCTACCCGACATGTGTGATATTCCTACCCGCCTTTCTACCCGATTAATCGGGTAGGAAGTCGAGTAAACATTTTTGTAACAATTAACTTTTGGATCATTTTAACAATTTAATTAAATAACATGCACAAATTTAACAACACAATAAATCAATTAACACTAAAACCTAAACTAACTACAACAAGAATTATAATAAAACACAAAAAAGTATGAATATCAATCCACTATAATTGTTACACAAATATAATAACAATTAATTTAAGTTTAAACTTTAAACCATATGAAATACATTAAAATCATAATTGTTCTGCTAGGGTTTAGGATTTTTTTTAGTTTATATATATATATATATTAAAAAATTATTGCAGGTAGGGTAGAGTAGTAATGTGAAAATGAATGACTATTTCACATTTTTATCCGAAAATTGTCAGAAGATCACAAATTCTTCCGTATTTTTATCTAATTTTTGTGACTAATCGTTCAATAGGGTAGAATAGAATCAAGTCGGGTAAGATAGAAACTTACGGCTGATCGAAAATTTAAATACCCTAACCCGTAATAGAAATATCTTGATGGAAGGTTCTAGACAATGAAGGGTACCTTCAAGAGAGAGGGGCTCTTCAGAAACTTCTGGAATTTCAGTTGTTGAGAGCAGAGAGGTATGGTGGGGACCCCTGGATGTTATCATAAAACTTGTGACTTTTTGTTTTTTTCCACAAAAGTCTCACAGAGAGCTAGTGGCGTCTTCATTGGTTGGTGGGGAGTAGCTGTTTGGTTGGTCAAAGTAATAACCATAATTTACATTACATGCCATCTACACAAATTTTAGTCTATATTATGAATTGAAAGATGAAAAATAAAAAATGAAAAAAATAAATTTATCTCTATTTTTTTAAAAATAATTTGTAAACTTCAACCAAAAATTATTGTCACTGTAAATTTAATTTTTATTTAATGTTAATTAAATATACGGTAGAACTAACATGGTAGGAAAATTTTTGACCATAGACAACACATGAGTCATTTTGACTGGGGAGCAATATTCGAGGAATAAGGACTGTCAACATTAAGATTATTTAAGTGAAATTTGGCAAAATATCTTTAGGGTATAATATTTATAAACTAAAGTTCGTGGGATTCTTCAATTTGAGGGGCTACTTTCACAAATAAAATACTCAAAAAAAAAGAATAAAAAATGAAAAAGTTTGGAGCCCTTTGATCATGTG